CCGGTTGCGCAACGCTCCGTCCGCCTTGAACAACCTTGTATGCATTGGACTAACATTTTTCGAAGCGCGGCAGGTTTAGTGTAAGTCCTGTCATATGGTCCTGCAAGACTTCCCTGTCCGCCACAAGCTAGCCAATAATTCAAGAACATAACGACGGCAGCGTATTCAAACAGTGTAAAATAAAATGTATATAATATTTATAAGAACACCGTTGTCTTCACTGCTTGGCTTTCAAATTTTTAGCGTTGCCAATAATCGCATTCAAACTATTTTTATGATTGAAGACCCCTCGTCGTGCATCGACCCCAAGATTATGCTTACGTGAAACGTGATTCGGCGCGGGAGCAACTGAAGTCACTGTAAACTTTTTTTTTTTTTTTTTAACGTGGATTTTGCTTTTTAATTTAGCTGAGGTACCACTGGCAGAACACGAATCGCATACTTGGAAGGTATATACCGTCTGAAAGCTCATATAGCTGGTTGAGTGAATGCAATACTATCGCATTCGTTGAAGCTTGATTTGTTGATTCGAACTTCAACAAATCACACGCACCCATTCTTCCTATTCTTGTTTACCCAGTCATAGTCGTTCCCTTACGATGCAATACGAGTACAGGCAACTACAGTTTATGCATTGTTGACGTTGCACAGCCGTGAGCGCACGGTTTTTAGAAGCGCTATAAAACGAGCACAAGCGTCGAATTCCGGTAGACTGATTGATTTCTGTCTCACCGCCGTGACGCCACACGAGAAAAGCGATTTCGTTCTGTCTGTGAAATTAGGAACACAGAAATCAAGCTATAATCCCGGTGATAAAACAAAGCGAAATGGATCTCTGCAGCCAATACCCAACCGTTTGCGAGGTGACTAGGTGAAAGCATATATTACCTCCGTGCCTTTATCCTCTGCACACCGCCAGAGAGAGTCATACAAACTCCTTGGAGCTATTGTCAACACGATTGCGTTTGCAAGCCGGTAGTTTGACTCGGCTGGGATTCGTCCCTTTCATAGCTCTCTATGAAACCAGAAAGGTAGATACTTTTCTACATTGAGTGGGTTTGCCCGGGGCGTCCAGTTATTTACGGCCAAAATCACACTGGAGGCGCTTCACGAATGTTCACTCTGGTCGACACACGTGCACTCTAAAAGTACCAGTCGTCTGCCTTCCCAAAAGATACTTGAAAAGCCAATCATAGAGACCAAGGGATAACGAGGCCGAAATTATGCTTAGACCTCAAATAAATTATATCACAAATTTGGCCTCGTCATTCCCAAACTGGTTGCCGGACGAAATTCTCTATGCGTATTGCAAGCCAGGGTTGGTAATAGTAACATAAGGTACGTACGGCAGAATTCCCTGCCATAAATAAAATGATTTGGCTGACGCCAAAGTAACACGAAATAGGTGCAAAGAGTTTTGCAAAAGGGAGCGTAAACCAAAAAAAAAGGGGAAAAAAAGACAGAAGAAAAGGAGAAATAAGAAAAAAAAATCTCTGGTGACGTGGCCAAAAAAAATTTTGTTCATGTGATCTTTATTGTCACGTGACCGAACAAAAAAAATAAACGAAATAGAAAAAGAACACGAGAAAAAAACCATCCCCTGCCCGATTTCGAAGCTAGGCCCTCTTGATCGTGAAACTAGCGCGCTATTCGTTGCGCTTAGTTGCGCCAACATAACTTTTCTTTTTTCTTTCTTTATTGCAAGTTGCGCCAACATAACTCTGCCTGTAATGCTCACGCATTCTCACATCATAGGAGAAAGCTTAGGTGCCTTCGTAGTTTTTCATGTATGTGTTATTTTTATTTGTGGCAACAGTTCACGTTCCAGAATGCTTTTAGAGTTTTGGAGCAAAACGAGTTTTCTTCATCCGAGTCACCTTCTGGAGCCAGTTGACCGCACTGGGTCCTCCGGCTAATCAAGCAGCTATTTTCAAATTCTCTGACGTGCCCGTCCTCGCATCCGAGGTCGCCGTTTGACAAGCTTATCTTCCACCTGGTAGCCGGAACCCCCACGGCAACTTTGTTCCGTCCCTACTCACTCTCGAGAGGATGGCTCGCCCCGAGGCTAATCCCATTCTCTAGACGCCCTTTCCACCCAACGCTGGCCCTTTCCCTCCCCGTCTCCAGCTTCGGGAGAGAAGGTTCTTCCCTGCAGAATGTCCCGTTTGTACAGCGGCCTTTAATGCATCTTTAACAATGTGGTCATATCAGAAAAGATTGTCAAGACATATTTTTGTGTCCAAACCCTGGACTTCAGTGGCGTTGCCTCCTCCAACCAGACTAGTTCCACAGGGTTACAAGGTCACCCATGTCCGGATGACGTTACCTTTCTACTCATTTTGAAAAGAGACACCTACTAAATTCCAGGATTGGTCTCGAATTCTCGAAGGCTTTTGACTGCGTTTCTCATCACAGGCTTCTACTAAAACTTGCACAGCTCAACATTCATTCTAATGTCCTCTCATGGATAAAAGACTTTCTCTCAAATAGACTTCAGTTCACTTCCCTTAACAACTCTAACTCCTCTTTTGCCCAAGTGACATCTGGAGTTCCCCAGGGTAGCGTGCTGGGTCCATTACTTTTTCTCATATACATTAATGACCTACCCACTTGCGTTTCATCTCATGTCCGCCTTTTTGCTGAGGACTGTGTCATCTATTGTAACATCTCTCCTAACACCGATCGCCAAGCTCTCCATTCAGACCTGGACCAGTTAACCACGTGGTGTTCTTCGGGGCTAATGACCGTCGACCACAACAAAACAAAACATATGTCGTTTACCAAATGCTCCTCTCAGACTCCAACTTCTTACCTTCTGAATAACAATACTGTTGAACTCACTTCTACCTATAAGTACCTTGGTGTCCACTTTCAGTCTGATTTGTCCTGGCACTACCACATTGATGTCACCCTTGCTTCTGCTAACCGTTCCCTTGGATTCATAAAGCACAATCTTAAACAAGCACCCGCTCACTTACGTAAACTTGCTTATATCACTCTAATCCGCCCCAAAATTAAATATGCTTCTGCCATATCAGATCCTGATCAAGCCTACATTATAAGTAACATTGAGTCGCTGCAAAACCGTGCTGGGCGTTTCATTTTCTCTGACTACTCTCCATTTTCCAGTGTCACCGCATTAAAAAATCAAGCTGAGTTGCATAACCTATCACGCCGCCGTAAACATGCCCGTTTGTGATTATTTCACAAGCTCTATCACCATGCTTCACGACAATCTTTTTAAAACACCACCCATTATTTTTCCACGTCGCGATCATTCATTCAAAGTAGCGCGCACCACATGCCACTCATCTAGTTGCGCACAATCATTCATACCACGGACCATAATCGACTGGAACAACCTACCGGCTCGCATTGCAACTGAACTAGATATGTCTAACTTTCAAGAGCCTGTGCGTAGTTATACTAATACTATAATGTTCTTTTTTATTCCTTGTTTTTATATTGTCTTTTGTATAATTTGTGTATACCTGTGTACTATATATTTTCTTGCCCCCCCCCCCCCTCTCCCCCGCCATGTAATACCCTCATACAGAGGGCCTTTAGGGGTATTTTGAATAAATAAATAAATAAATCTTTCCTTCGTTGACCGTGCATGCTTTGCACTGGAGTGTTTGTCAGCCATGGATGGACACATTCAGGACAAGTGTTTATTGTTTTCAGCCCACCATTGGCATGTCGAATCACTGCTAGACCAAATATATGCCGCCCTTTGTTACCTTAGAAAAAATCGTAAGGGTACAGGCGAGCTGGTCAATATTAACCTGTTGAATTAACCTGAGACTGGGGTAGAGAAGAAGCATCAAAACGTAGAACGGACGGAAAATTTTTGAGACGTCGTCCTGTCTATTTTCTGTCCCTTCTACGTTTTGATGCTTCTTCTCTACCCCAGTCTCAGGTTAATTCAACATGGTTTATTACCTTCCAGTTTTCCCTGCGCACTTACTTCTAGGTCCTAACTAAATGACCAGTTGTTGCCCTGGTATCTAGCTGGCTCAGGATAGGTTAGGTTATAATAGGTTAGGCTAGGTTTGTTTAGGTTAGGTTGAGTTGCAATAGGTTTGGTTATGTTAGGTTTGGTTAAGCTAGACTAGACTAGGCTAGGCTAGGTTATGTTAGGTGTGGGATTTGCTATTGGCTACTAGCAGAGGTATTGATAGAATAACTAAAGGGTTATCTTAACAGCGGCGGCAACCTCAAGGGAGACGTCAAACCTAGTAGCGCAGTTTCCACATCTCCGTGGCAATATAGACAACGTTTAGGGCTACATTACCATGGGTCAGTTCGATAGACACCTCCGTCGGTGCCAGTGATTGACTACCGTGTCTCACACTCTCGAATATAGTGGAAGAGAAAACACACGTACCAGAGGAAGGACAGAATCCAAGAGCATTTATTAGAACACTCTTCAAAAAGAACTACAATGTCCCCATCCAAAATGCCCCCTCACCCCCCCCCCCCCCCCCCCCCCCCCCCGCGCCGGCAAGGTAAGAAAAGGTCCCTACCTGCCGGACGCGGGTAGGGAGGGCCAAGATCAAGGAAGGATCGGAGAAGCCGCTGATACACATTTTATTTCTTTCGCGGTCACCGGACGAGTCCCTTTCCCGAAAGCGGGGAAACAAGAGGTGAAACCTCCTTGCCTGTCAGCAGTCATCCGCATCCGAGAGGGGGAATGGCAAGAGGTCCCCTCTGAGAGAGTAAGAGGAGGATACTCCAAGACAGGACCCAGGGGACCCTCCGCTTCACAAACGGGTCGGAGCTACGGCGAAGGAGGCCGAGCGTTCCGATCCGCGGCCGTTATCACAGCCATTGGGGTAGAGAGACCACAGGAATCTCCACATAGGTTAGGCTAAATTAGGTTAGGCTAGGCATGAAGCTCAGCTGGCTTGGCTTGCAGCAATGTGACAATCATTTTGTCCCTCACACTCGTCATTTGTCCAGTCTGGCTCGCATTATCTCCACATTCTGACGCCATGCAGGAAAACTCGGAGGACGAGCGGACGTTCCGGCTCCTGCAGAGACTGCCGAAGCGAGGCCCCCTTGCTTACGAGCGAACTCTGGAGGCACTCAAAGAAACCGGCATGATGAAAGCCTTTGAGGTTCTGACTGGGCAGGCTCCACAGCGCAGAGAAGGGCCTCTGCAAAGCCACGGCGAGGCCATTCTCGGTGCTGCTGTTCGCAACGGTACAGTCTTTTCTCGCATGTTAAATAGACTACTTTCATAAATCCCTTCATGCAACATGGCGCATGTTGCACTCTGGGAGCTAGTTGGCCAGGGAGGAGAGTGACATGGTTTCGTTTTCGATCGACACGTCGACAGGAGATTATACGCAGAGCGTGGACCATAAACGGCCGTTATCTCATGTTTTCTCGTCCCGAGAGCGTCATTTGTGATCTCTAAACTAACCTAAATGGCCAGACCTCAAAACTTTAGCACAAGCCCGAAAGGTATGGCTTGTCTTAACGCATGCTTGTTGTATTTTTGTACTTCAGCCTTTCTGTTAGCGTTTGGAGGTATGGTGGACGAGCCAGTGCTAGGAATCTCGACGCTGCGAAGCTCGGGGATCTTGCTCGTGTACGAATCAACAAGCTGTAGCAAGCAATAAGTATGCATACATCGAGCTTGCCCCTTTACATTAGTGTTGTTGATCAGGAAGTTCGTTTGTTTTGTGCGTCCATAGACAAAATATAACTTTTTGCCAATTACTGTTTTTTTTAATACGCCTGAGTATGCGAGGTACAACTCGAAAACTCCATTGAAAAGCTCCACTTGAACACACTTCTCGTCTCTTATCTGTACTGCCCCGCAGCACTGCACGAAGTAAAGTCCCCACCCGTTTGCATTCCACGAATATTCAACATCGCCTATGCGCATATAGTTATACTGCCAATCATATAGGCACATTCGCACATGCAAACCGTTTTAAGAAAACAAAAGTCGAGCACTTGTGGGAAGAATGTCACACCGATTGCCGGAAGTGCGCCAAACGGGCATGAATCCCTATGCGATGCGCGAATGAAATTATTCAAAGCGCATTTGACGGTTGCTAATGGCCACCCTAGCAAAAATTCCCATAGAGAATTCCCATAGCCTATCGGTTTATTGACACCTATGGGCGTATGGGCCTATAGGCGTATGGGCCTATAGGCGTATGGGCCTATAGGCGTATGGGCCTATAGGCGTATGGGCCTATAGGCGTATGGGCCTATAGGCGTATGGGCCTATAGGCGTTTGGGCCTATAGGCGTTTGGGCCTATTGGTGTATGGGCCTATTGGTGTATGGGCCTATTTGTGCATTGGCATATAGGCCATCTGCATGAGCACACAGGGTATGGTGGTGCCTTTATACATTTTATTATGCAAAAAAGGGTCTTGAGGTACACTTGCTCCTGTTATGAAGGCATCTTGACGCTGAACACTGTCACAAACTGAGTCTTGAAGGTGCCAGAGCGTAATGGCATACTTCTTGCTTGAAATCCTGAAATGAGCAGCAGAACAAACAAAAAGAGTTAATCGGCGGCGTGGCAAAGGTGGAGGATGATGTCACCACAGAAAGTGATTAAGGCTAAAGCCATTCGATAGATGACTCGAGCATTTTTAAATTTCAGACCGAAGAAAATAAAATTAAGAGGCTGGATTTCCAATTTATAGTGGGACCACTTCAGTCCTCTGCTAGACCAGTAAGACATATTCTAAAGAAACGCATTGAAGGTAGCATTAAGGAATTTAGTAAGTGTGCTCTGTTGACATAAGCTACACTTTCTCGGACCACACCCGGAATGAGGGTCAACTTTTCTCTATGCGACGCGCAGTTCCAAACATAAGAACAGGTAAACAAGCACAACTAGTTAAAAAAATAGCTTAACAAGCAAAAGTGAGCCGAGAAAATAGGGAGCTTTAGAATAACGGGCGCTAATTTATCTCGCGTTACGGACGGCAAAAGCGTTTCTCTGCCGGGGACCGAAAACGCAAGCATCTCACACTTAAAGCGCCACCAAGATGTTGCGATAGCTTTTATTTTGAAGTTAGAATGTTATATCTTTAAAATTAAACAAGCTTATCGTCTGGAATAACATTTTTATAGTTGTGTTATACTCAATGCAGCATGTTTCTGTCACTGTCAAGCAGCTCTGTTGTACTTCCGAGGCCACGACGATCCATAACCCCGGCATATTTACACTTCTGCCGCGATCGCAAGTGCACGCGCTTTGATAGCTTTGAGCTCTGAATCCAACGGTATGTGACATTTTCTGTACGCTATGACTATACCAACCGCGGTCGCCAAGTGCGACTCACGCAGTCCCAAGCGGGCGGCGGGCGTCGAAGACGCGATCAACGGAATGTCGTGGGCGCCGCTATTTTCGGTATCCGCGCTATTTCCGAGAAATAACGGGCCCCAAAGACCAAGCCCCAATGCTCGTTTTGGGTCTGCGCATACGCACTAACGACGACGTTATTTATTCGAGGTTGCGGACGTCGGTGTTGATGTCGCTGGCCTGTAATAAGGCGGAGCCTCCTGAGGGGGCGGTTCACCGAATGATACTTTAGCGAATAGTTGGGCGCCGCGAAGCGGCGTTTACGTGTGGGCCAATACACACACACATGTGGGTTCACATTTTTTGTAATGAGCCGCCTCAGACTGTCGCCGCGAAGCGCCGTAAAGCGCAGCGCAGCGGGTGGGTTAACGCGCGCCCCCGTTATTGCCCCGGAGGCTCCGCCTTATTACAGGCCAGCGACATCAATACCGCGGACGTCGTTCTGAAACTCCCTAATGTTCAAACTTCCACGCGTCTACAATGCAAACAAAGACCAAAAGCATGCTTACCAAGTGTGTTGAGGTGCTCGCTAGACTGTCGCGTCGTGGGTCTTCCAAGCTCTTCTTGACCATAATCAACATAAGAGGAGACTTCACAGATAGGTAATAAACTTGAATAAATGAGCACATTTCCATGTCTAAAAGCATTTTCGTCCCCTGACAGAAACACACCCGACGCACGACATAACAATGTCGGGGGGAAAAAAAAAAGTGTGGTGTCGCTAGCGATGGGGTGCTGTAACTAGCACGAGCTCGATGGGAATAGATAACTGGGCAATTTGGTGAGAATTCATGTTGAGAGACAGCGCGACCGGGACGAGGACAAAGAGACGAAGAGAACACAGGACAGGCGCTGTCCTGTGTTCTCTTCGTCTTTTTGTCCTTGTCCCAGCCGTGCTGTTTTTCAACAATATGAGCTCCTTACAAAATCGAAACCGAAACTGTCCGAATCGCGATGGAGGGTGCCACAAAAATGTCTTTACAAACTTAGGAATAAAAGAGGGTGAGTACAACTATTGTTATAAGCACATGAAATAAATGTGTAAATTATGACAAGTACCGACTTGCCATTTGTTTTGGGTGAAATGGAGTAGGAAATAGATTTCTTTGTTTCAACCCATCAAGATATTTTCTTTATTTTTCGTGGAGATTACTTTTATTTACACTTTCCTTACAGTATTTTATTAGTAAATTATTTTGACGCACCAGGGTCCCAAGTTTTATTTAGAATATTGCCCTAAAATTTATTCAGAAAAGAAAGCATTTCATTGTGCTATTTTCCTCTAAATTGTGCATGACTGTGTGTGAGTCTCTTATTCTAGCATTATTTCAAGCTACAAAACTATATGAATTTTTATAACTCATTGATTTACAATGATGGTGTGTTATGTAACCTGGGCTTAAACCATTTTTGCCATTCGAAAATATTGAGGAAAAAAAAAGCGTAACATTGTCGCATAATTAACTTGACTGATGTAGTTGTATGCATACTGTTCTAAAGTGGACACATTTTTTTGCATTTGGAATAGATATTTGCACCACACAGCTCAGGTTACATAACACATGCATCAAATGGGCTGGTGTATTTCTGACACGGACTATTCTGAGAGACATATGTCTAATTTATTCCTATTGCTCAAATATAGACATGCATAATTGGTACATTCCTATTGAATGATTCGAGGTTTCCACTAGTCAAGGAAGCATTCCTATTTGGCCAACAAAACTTTTGGTTTAACTGATGAAGATTCCTAACCGTCCGATAAAGTCCTTATGGGACCGGTCTAAGTTTCTATGGGACCAATAGGAATGCCTATTGGACCGATCGAAATTTCTATAGGCCCAATAGGCATTCCTATGGGACCGGTACACACTCCTATGGGACCGATACACACTCTTATGGGACCGCTACACACTCCTATGGGATTGATACACACTCCTATGGGACCGATACACACTCCTATGGGACCGATACACACTGTTATGGGACTGATACACACTCCTATGGGACCAATAAAACTTCCTACGGGACCGATACGCACTCCTATGGGACCGATACGCACTCCTATGGGACCGATACACATTTCCTATGGGACCAATTGAACTTCCTATGGGACCGATACAGATTTTTATGGGACCGATACAGATTTCTATGGGACCAATAGAAATTCCTATCGGACCGATAGAAATCTCTATTGGTCCGATACAAATCTCTATCGGAATTTTTGCTAGGGCATAATATTTGTTATGTGGTTGCATTCTTCCTGACTGAGTATGCCGAGATAATTTTAGACATACCGTTCAGGCACATATCTTGGGCGTCAGTAAAAGCTCGCCCACAAAGGCGTAGCGAAGAGGAGGGGACGCTTGTTAAGGGCCTCTGTCGTAGCTAGCCAGTCTCAGCGTTTGCAGAAACTTGATCTATCAGCATAAAATTTGAGTGTGAGATATCTGATGTCACGAGGAAGACATCATAGTAACCTTTGTGCAGTAGTAAAGTCAAATTTATAGCGTTGCCTTAAAAGTTCATGCGCGAACGCTGGGCTCAACTTTGATAATCCTGTGAGGATGCGGCTTGCTTTTCGCTCAATGAAGTAACAAGCAGCGGACGTTTGGCAAATAAAAAACTTGTAGGGCTCAAGTTGACCAAATTTCAGTTGTAGTTTACAGGTACTAGATGGGATTACTGACATTGAGCTCAAAGATGCACTCATGGAGTGAGGTGACTAAGCCATGTCTTACTACGTTTTCATACGCACGCACAATATCCGGTGTTTCGGGAACCAAGGAAAGTACCCCGGTCTTCGCTTTGTATCGCTCGAGAATGAGTGTAGTGTGCATTTGTAAAAAGTCAGATAATCGAAAACCCAAGCAGCACGTTCGGTTGCGGCTTGATAGCATGATATGAAGCTGCTCAGTCGAAACCGATACTGAGTGGCCAACTAGTTCCCAGAGTGCACTGTGTGGTATTTCGCCGCGTTGGGGCGCGTCGGTTTCGTAAGAAGTCTATTGGGGATGAGCACACGGGGCTGACGATTTGTGAGAAACGCTGTCAGTCCGGTTGTTTTCTAGTTTTGCTGCGGAGTGACAATGGTAGCGAGTCTTTTATCTGTTAACATTATAAAGACTGTGGAAAAGTCTGAGCTTTGATGTTTCTACTAAAAGGTATGGAATCATGTTCCATCCTTGGGCTAAGGCATAGACGTAGATTTCGGGGGGGCATCGGGGCTCGTGCCCCCCCTGGTGAGATCTATGAAGGGGGGGGGGGGGACAGAGCCCCCCTTGGGTCCGGGCCATGATCCTTACCGAGACGCCGTTAACGTGCCATGTAACGAGCTTCTAGTAGCGGCATGTAAACAAAATAACGCCCACGTTGCCTTTATTGACAAAATACATAGGAAATGGAATCCCAGCGTGCTTTCGTTAGCTTCAATCTCCAGTTCTGACGAAAAGGAAACGTGCAGACCCCCTCCCCCCCCCTGGAGAACTCGGCCTGCCCCCCCCCCTTGCAAAAGGTACACCTTAGCCGCTGGGCTAAGGTGTATCTTTTTTGTGCTAAATTTACCCTTGGTCTGCGAAGGCGATGGAGTGCAAAGAACATCAGTAACTGCGAGAAAGACGTGAGTAGAGAGTGGAGACACGGGTGTATTGTGGAGGGATGAAGCGATTGAAATGGCTGAGCAGCTACCATGTGTTTTAAAAGAAGTAGCAACCTTGCTTGTTGTAGGAGTTGTCGTGTTTCCGTTTCCGGTCCCTGCTATCAGCGCTCCTGCGCTGATAGCAGGGACCGGAAACGCTGCCGCGCCGCGAAGAAGCAACGAATAGTTGCTTCTTCGCGGCACTTGGCGGCGCGGCAGTTTATTCGGTTATTAACGTTAGGGAGTGATTTTAAGTAGTATTTAACGAAAGTAGAAGAAATGAAAGCCGTTTACAGCTCCCTGTAACGCCGAATCAGAGCACAGCTCGTGAGGAGGTGGAGGGAAGGGTACTGAGGGTCACCTGTCCTCGGGGGGGGGGGGGGGGGTCACATTTACCTTGAGGGTGGGTGTCACGTGACCTCGGGGGAAGGGGGGGGGGGGGGGGGGGTCACGTGACCTTGGTGGTCACGTGACCCCCAGAAAAAGTTTTCCGCTAGATTTAGCGGGGAAACTTTTCCGCTGGATTTAGCGGGGAATTTTTTCCTCTAGATTTAGCGGGGAAATTTTTCCGCTACATTTAGCGGGGAATTTTTTCCGCTAGATTTAGTGGGGAATTTTTTCCGCTAGACTTAGTGGGGAGATTTTTCTGCTAGATTTAGTGGGGAAATATACCCATAATGCACCGCGCGGTTCTGCTGATGGCGACGCCGCTCAAGCCGGAAACGGGCGCCTAAGAGGTGCGCTCTAATATTTATAGGTGGCTTTATTTTGGCAGCTATGTGGGTGGAAGGTACATGCTTGTAGATTCAATGGTAGATTCTATATTGTATATAAGAGCTTCATTAGAGCATAAATTCTGTGTCGCTTGTACAAAACACAAACATAAAGTCAAAGGCTATGCACCCTGTACTATCAAAGTCTCTGACGCACTGCCTCGTGTTGCGTAAGAATTCCTTGCCAGGCCCGTGTCACAGCCTAGCCTACCACTGCTGTTCAATGCAAGATGAAATGAAGTATAGCGGCCCGACTCCACAGTATAGTTTGTACAGAGCACGCTTTTCTGGCCAGTTGACGACGTTCAGGCGTGAAGGAGGTCGCGTAATGAGGAGTGTCCGAGAGCGGTGTTTTCTGTTTGTTGGCTGCGGATGGACGAGGCTTTTAGGCCCGTCCTGCTTGACCCCAGCTGAGCCGCACGTGGTGTTCGTCTTGCAGGCAACGGTACTGCCGGCGAACACGGGGATGCCGAGCTGAAGGTGCGCCGGGCAGAGGAGTGGAAGGACGGCGACGACGTGAGCTCCCCTTTCTGCGTTTTTCTCTTCTTCCCTCGTTCGGTGGCGAATGTTCCTACGTTTCATCAGGTGAATCCGTCGAGCAAGGAGCGGGTCGTTGAGGAGTGTGCGTCGCGTTGCACCAGCGTTCTGGGACGCGCAGAATGATCTGACCGAGCAAAGCCTCGGAGCCTAGAACGACAGAATTTAAAGGGACAACGGAACACTTTTTGTTCATTCAGTGCAGAAAATGTTTGAGGAAAAACGAAAGGCGATCTTCCCCTTGGAGCCAGAGCAAGCGGCCGTGTGACCGGTAGCCGATTATATGCCACCAATGTTTATCGTAGCCATGAGCTTGGGTTGGCAAGGCACGGTGCACGTGCCTTGTTCTACACATTGTTAAAGTTTGGCTATTCCCGTCGTCGCAGCAATTGGGCACGAGCTACTACCCGAATGCATGTCCAGGTATCGATTCTTGCGACCGCAGATTGAATGCTCACGCAGTGCTCATGTTCATGGGCGTACCAACCGGGGGGGCAAGGGGGGCGCAGCTGGCGCTTGCCCCCCCAGTTGTCAAAGTGGGGGGCAAGGCATGTGTTTTGCCCCCCTAAAACAGCCGCCACTGGGGACGGCAAACACTGGCACTGCCCCCCGGCCGGGGGGGGGGGGGTTCTGGTTTGCCCCTCCACTCAAAAGCAAGTTGGTACGCCACTGCTCATGTTCACTATATAAGCAGCCTTTAAATATCCTCACTGTGGGGATCACAAACCTTGATGACAAAATCCTGGGGATTGGTTTGTTGACGTCAACGATGTGTGCTCGCTACAACTTCATCATCAAGTTTTGCGAATGAGAGGAAAGAAAATGTCCGTCTTTATCCTTAAAATTACGCAGCAACAATGAAGCTTCATGGGTCGATGGCATCGCGTGCAAGTATACTTGGGTCGCACTAGTGCCAGTAGTAAGCTTGTGTAAAGTGAGGAACATTCCTACCCAATGTGTTTGCACAACCCCTTTAAAAAAAATGAGAAAAGAAATAAAATAACCCGTGCTACTTTTTAGGGGTGAAAAAATGTTGTGTAGCATGGGACAAGCTTCGTTTTAATAGGAACATTCTCTGGAAATCTTTACTTACAAAAGCCATATCTGTTCTCATGTGCCACGTGGCGTGGCGGGACGTGGCGTGCCATGGCGTGGCGTGATGTGGCCTGTGTCACAAGGCGTGGTGTGGTTAACTTCTTTTTACCCGCAGAATGTTTCGGCCGAGTCTCTTGTGTCGCACTTGAGGCTTTGGATTTTTCTCCCCTTGTAACACTTAAACAGATTCTAATTTGCATCTGGACAACCTGTATTTGTACTTCAAGTTTTTTATTTGTTTTCTCGTTTGTTTTTTTGTTTGCTTTTAGCTTTGTGTACTTTGTGTACCTCTGGTTGGAATCTGAAACTGCCGGAATGTTGCAGGAGTGAATTCATCAGAATGAAAACACAATGAGCAAAACAATAGACAAATAAGGGACAATGCTTTTTGGTTTTCTTTCTAAAATGTCCTCACTTTCATCGGTGTCCTAGGTCCAATTAGAGAGGCACGCCAACCGCCTGTGGCGCGACGTGCTTGATTCTAGAGAAATGTCGACGTCAAAATGCTGCTCTTGTCCTCCGCAGGTATACAGGATGATGCGGAGACCACGCGGAACGTGCGTCATCATCAACAACCGCGACTTCCACAACAATGTCCTGGCCCAACGGAGAGGGTCGGAACTAGACGTGCAGCGCATGCGCATGCTGTTCCAGGAGCTCGACTTCGTCTGTATCATTCGCCTCAACCAGACAAAAGAGGTAGGCATTTATTTTATACACGAGCACTGTTTGCACGAACACGAGCAGGACGCCCGAAGATCGGGAGAATGCGGGAAAGCGAAACTGTCGAAACAATATAGTAAGTTGGTGGCCTAGTTGGTTGAACATCATAAAAATATTTGCACGAAAGACGAAGCACATGGAAAGACAGGACAGGACGAGCGCTACTTTCAACTGACGTTTGAATGAAAAGATAAAGGAAGAAAAGGACAGCGATAAAGTTCACGCACAGGGCCCCAATTAACGGTACCCTCCAATTTTTAGGTCTTCGGCTCACCTTCAATAGTAACCATTTATGCTGGATGTGCCTATCGAGATCACAAAAGGGACTTCTGCAGTACGATTCGGCTCACACAAAACTTCTAAAAAGAGGAATGGTTTCCAGTTGTTTTAGCGCGGCACTGAACGAGTCCTGTTTTCATTCAGCAGCGGAGAGCTTTGATGTGCAAGCATTACAGCTGAAAGATTCTGGCTTCTCTAGTTCTATCCTATCAGGTGTGGCTGAATGCATGATCAAATCTAACCGGCCAAGAGAGTGTAGAGGGAAGCAACACCGACTTGCGGTCGTCCCATACATGCATCGCATCTCCAGCAGCTTCAAGAGAGTCGCATCCAAGTACGATGTCTGGGTGGTGTTATCTGCTCCAGAGGAGCCGCTAAAATGACTCTGCCCCAAAATGAACTCGCAGCGTGACAAGATGGACAAATGCAGCGTGAGACATACCCAAAGTATAGATAAACTGTGACTGTGGAGTTGTGCACAAGATACTTTCTCATCTGGAAAAGTTTACGTGGGCCAGACTGGGCGATGCATCAACATCAGGCTTGTGGAGCATGAACTTTCTTTGAAATCCTCGCCGTCAGGTTACCTAGCCTTACATGTGAGGGACTGCGGGTGCGACTAGTGCCACTAAATAAGCTACGCTTCAGAGTAACGACGCTTGGCCATATTGTGTCTTAATATCATGGTTGCCAGTTATCTGAAGCTTTATCTGAAATCACAGGAAACGCTTTTCTGCCTTCCACAAATGTTTAAACACTTCACGAAAGAGCAAAGCAATATTACATGACCTTCCTAACACTGAATCTTATGCCGAGGAAGTCGCACTTTTGAATCATGACGGTCGGCAGTTGTGTCTGCTCTGCATACGAGCCAAAATGGCGGCGCCCACAACGATGTCAGGGAACAGAGTGCCGATACTCTAAGCGCAGCTCATTTAGTGGCTCTAGGTGTGACCAGTTGTTCGCTAGCGCAGGAATTCTGAGGCGGTTCCACAAGAAAAAGACTAGAGAAATCTATGAAGGTCAGTCCATAGCAGCAAGAAGCGAATCATACATAAGCGTGTCGTCAGTGAACTTGTCACCAAGGAACTATGATACCTCCTTATTTCCTAAAATATTTTCTTTCTAGACCTTTTGTTTTTATATTTTGAAATAAATTTCCTTTATAATTTTTTAATTTGTTTATTATCAAGTTTTTCATTATCTCACTCCTCCTTCTAAATCCTTGCCTTTCTTCATTTTTTTTTTTTTTATAATTTGAATATAAATTTATCTTGGTCCTTTTCTTTTTTTATCTTTTTATCAGAACGTCTCTTGAAAGTAGCGCTTGTCCTGTGCTGTCCTCCCTTCTAAACGAAAAAACAGCGCCGAAGAAAACATGGGGACACAGACGGAGGGAAAGGGGACAAAGCAGTAGGAATCGCAAAAAACCGCTAAAAAGTGCTACAGTTGAGACGCATGGCAAAATGGCTTTTTCACACAATTTTCTGCCATAACTAGCCTAAAAACGTAATAATAGTAAAAAAAAAAAGAAAGATTTTTGTTTTGACTTTGAACGCTTTCATGCACAGAACAATGTTGTGACAACACACCTGTAACCAGGTGTGTTGTCACACCTGCTGACATACACTTCCATCGCTTCGATTTCTTGTGAAACATTCGGTGGCAGTTCAAAGTTTCAGCGACCAAATTCACATGGTGTGCGGAAAGTTCTGTTTTGCAATAGTGGTGCCCGACTTATCTGACCTCACTTGGAACTACACGTAACTAGCCTCAAAGGTTAGGTCCTACAGCCCCCTTTCTTCCTGAAGTTTGGTACAAACTTCAACTTGGTCCATTTCATCTGGCAGGTTTGGGAAATGCATTCATACTCTCACGCACAAATCAGTTCCACTCATGTGGAAGCCAGGGCCGTACCCAGAAAAAAATTTCGGGGGGGGGGGGGAATTTCGGGGACAATGGCGGCCATTTTGAAAATGTCTATTGTCTTATTTTCGCCTATGAATCATGTGCATCGGTGGCATATAATGGAGAGTTATAGCAAACCGGAGAACCGGTCCCGGTTTGGTACCCGGTAGCCGACCGACGCTACTGCGCGTGCGCAGAGGTGGAGATTAAAATCGGCTGGCTGCAAGTGCACCGACCAGGGCCGTACACAGAAAAAAATTTCGGGGGGGGTCAGAACCCCCTAACCCCCCCCCTGGTTACGGCCCTGTGTGGAACTGATTTGCTTGCTGCCAGAAATATTTCAGTAGCATCACAAGTGTTACTCTCATTGAACACTATGTTGCCGAAAGTATGCAATGATGACGATTGTTTGACTTCTAACTTACTACTGAACTTAAGCTAATTATGATTAATAAGTAGAAATTGTGAAGCACCTTACACCTTCAGAAAGAATACTAGCATGACCTGAAAACTGACCAAAAACCTGCCACCTTCAAGATGGTAATTTCTTTTGCTAGACAGCAATGAAAACTGCTAAATTTAGTGAAATAAAAACAATGAATTGGCAACACTCCTGTCAAGGACTAGCCTGAGTTATTGAAGTATCTCTGAGGTATAGAAGGAAAGCCCGATTTAATTTGTTGAAGTCCAAGCGATGGTGCAGGCAAGCCGATTTGATTGACATTTTAACCCTGGAACATGGGGAAGGAAATACAGCTAAGTTTTTATTTCACAAATCACATCCTCAACTTTTTGACGGTCGTTTGCACATTTGAAAGTACCTACCTAAACTCAAAACCGCATGCACTGCAAGAGAAATCCTATCCTTACTGAATGCAAAACAGTTTTCATTCTTAGCTTAGCAGACTTGGAGCAGCATGGTACCCACTGCAACTTCTTGGAGGTGTTTCCGAAAGCTTATTGAAAAAGATCCGAAAAGACAACAGCACAGTGTGCGACGGGGCTCCCAGGAAGGTGGGTAGGCCCGTCGTCTTGCCTTACATTCACAAGATGTCCCACTACCTGAAGAAGGTGGCCCATCACTTTTACATAATGGTAGTCTTTTCAGCGTCAAACGGGCTTTCTTCACTGTGTAAAAGGATAAGCAGATTGGCAGAGGAATCGTCTGTGCCGCAAGATACCTGCAGAAAGTGACATGTCATTAAGTTCTGCAAGTGCACCTCTAGCGTCACGTACGGAATTCCCCTGTCATGTGGTAAGGTGTACGTTGGTCAGACGGGGAGGTTCATTAATGATGGGGACAGATAGCATACGTTGGCGATCAGGCATTCCCTGTCTGGCCACCTGGCGGTCCACTGTGACCGTTGCGAGTGTGTGCCCAGCTCTGAGAAGTGCAGCCCCATTTTCGGTAAGACCCGTGTCGTGGGTCGTTGCAAAACAAAAACGGCCAGAGAAATTCACGAAGCCTTTCTGATAAAGCTTCACCATGACAGCTCTTGCGTAAGCGCACCCTCTTTGTCATTGTTCGACAAAGAATTCCGCTATCTTAAGAGCCAATGACACTGGTATCTGAGGGTGTGTGTTTTAAACCATATCTTTGTGTTCTGCCAAGTGTGCCATTTTTTTTTAATACTATTTTTAAATATATATTTTCCAAAAAAAACATTCAGTTTAAATTTTTGCCGCGTCCCGTCCAACTCTCCTTTTGTTTTCGTCCGAGTTTTTTGGCGTATTACTACATGATGAGCAATTAACTAGTCCAACTAGCCATCGTTATCCCTTTTTAATTCGTTGGCATTAGTGCCCTGGTATATGCGCTGGTGTTGGACTGGTTTGGACTAACAAAAGTTTGCAACGTCTCCACGGGATGGCGCCACAGCCCCACTGGCTGTGGAAACAAGCTGGCTAGGAAAGACCTTCTTCAAGTCCTGACAGATGGCACATGACTACTTGTAGTACTGTTGTTACTCATGGCACAACTCGCTGAGATACTTTCTTAAACTGATGTCACAGTTACTACTAAGGTGCTTAAAGATACAAAATTTTGATTGTTTGTGCTTCAAAATGCAATTTTTCTGCTCCTAAGTTGCTTTAAAAGGCAGGTTTTTTTGCTCCTAAGCTGCTCAAGAATGCAGATCTTTCTCCTCCAGAAATTGCTCCAAAACCAGTATGGTTTGTCCAAGCCCTGCACAGACACTACTTACTCTGTGAATTGTGCGCTCTTCTTTCCTTATTTGATTAGTACAAATGGTGGCTTTATTGCCTGTACAGTCAGCACGGAATGAAACCCGAACGCCGGAACGCGTGGCCATCAACACAGGCTGCTCCACCTGGAGGGCCCCTGAGAACTAATGAAAATGTGCCCCGGGTGCAAGAGTGCGGGTCCTACTAAAATGTGCTCGAACCTCGCACGGCGCGTCTGGGACTTCCGCGTTTCGCCGGTGGCGCACTGTAAGCGCCGTGACTCGGGGCGCTTTTGTGTCACTGCACTGTCGCCCGGTCGACACCGGGCGGCCGCTTAACTTGGCTATAGCTCTTTGCGATAGGCCCTGCTCAGACAGGGTGATGCATTTATTCCGCTGTGGAATTGATACTCCTGGCATACCGGTGGTTACCACAGACAGCGTTAGCTAGCAATTCCTCGCTTTTTATAAGCATCGACTGATAACCTCGCACGGAAACATGCGCATTGCTTATAAAAACCGAGGCATCCACGTCGATCTGTTGCAGCATTTTGTTTTTTCATAGAGAATATGGTTGTGCTAATAAACAAATTTTATTTTGCGTCTATGACGTTTCACTATTTCCCAGAAACCACGTATGCTATGTTGTTCATCGGAGCCTCTGCGTGGCTCCAATGACACGTCATCAAGCACTACGGGCCTTTTGTGCACGACATGTTTCAACTTTCATTTCGCCCTTGCGATACACAAGGCAATAATTAATGACAGCGCTGAAGAGATATCGCTGGGCATCCGATATACAAAGTGATAAATAACGGGTGCGCTGGACAGATTGGACCAGAATCTGCACAGAATGACGTATTGTTCAACGCTCAAGTTACTACAATTAAGAAAAATCTTTGCTGAGTGCGCGAGTTAACAGACCTGCATTATGGCATTCGCACCGAGAAATGCGACCCTGAAGAACAATAGAGGATAATGAACGAGTTCTGGGAATGGACGTATGGATGTGCTCATATACTCTATACTGAATATTTGTAGTACAGTCGAGCCCGGTTACAACGAACCCTTCTACAATACAAAGCGCGTTCGCTATAACAGAAGTTCGTTATAATTGGACTTCCCTTTAAAATTGATGATAAATAAGTAAGCATGGCACAGATTCAAAGTGCGACAGCCGTGATCGATGCGTGTGGCATTTATTCAAGGAAGTCCGTAATTGCGATCTGTTTTAATAGCGCAGACCCTATGATAGCGCTCTCCAGTTCGCTCAGCTGATCAGTGTGGACATCGCTCAGTCTCTGTACATAGACCAGCTGCTTCAAAGAAGCTATGTGCCTCAAAGCCGTCGTCTTCATTGTCACCCTCGTCGTTGGACACCGCGATGTCGTGGACAGTCGGCTGCACCTCCTGCACGATGGCTTCGTCGGATGCGCTCTCCAAGACGACCACGTCTTCGTCAGCGTCAACGAAGTCGTTCGGGGTCTGCCTCTCCTCTCTCAGACTGGGAACAACAAAGGCCCCCCCCCCAAAAAAAAAAAGACATTAGACCACATGGACTTTGCACGCAACTCCAATGTTTCTTTTCCCTCCGAGAGAATGGGCCAATAAGATTTAACGGAGCCCAGAGCACTCGCAGACCGATAGCCTTGGGTGCCTTGCTTCCCTGTTTTTTTCTTCTTCCTTTTACCCCTACCCCTACCCTACCTTCCCCTTCCCCAAGATGAGATCTTGGCGCTGCCGGCAGTCCTTCCATGTTTTGCTCCTTTTCTCTCCTGCCGTATTTTGGGGGCAGCCAGCGCTTTGTTTCGTTCGTTCTATCCAAGAATCGCGCGCAGAAGCGGCCGTTAAAAGTGGACCGTCTTCTGTAGGATCCTTGTAAAGTGTGTCCGGGGATTCGAAATTGTTCGTAATAACCGAGTGTTCGTTCTAAGTGGGGCCTTTATAAGAGGGCTCGACTGTAGCAACCTTCAGTTGGGTGTCAGCACTCGTCATGTGCCCCAACTTGTTCATCTGGCTCGTTATGTCGCGCTGTTTTGCTATAAGTACTGCTAATTATAAAATTACGAAACATATAAAAAACACTAAAAACTGCACACACCAGGAGAAGAAGACACATTGGCGTGCTCCACTAGCGCGCATGCGCAAGTAGTTTCCTTCTGCTCCTAAAATCGACCTTCTCGTGCCGCGCGCAAGCCGCAGGTGTCGACCGGGCGACAGTACGGTGACACAAAAGAACCCCGAGTGACGGCGCTTACAGCGCTCCATTGGCGAAACGCGGAAGTCCCAGACGTGTCGCGTGAGGGTCGACCACATCTTAGTAGGACCTGCACCCTCGCACCCCGGCATATTTTCATTAGTTCTGAGGGGCCCTCCAGGTGGAGCAGCCCGTGTTGATGGCAACGCGTCCCCCCTACAAATGGTAACAGCTCATTCGACACCTGTTGAGATTTCTGTGGGTGTGTGCATGCCTGCGTGAAATATCTTCACAAGGTAGAGCAGACCCAGCATGAAGCCTGGTGCACACATTCTTCAGTGCCATGTTTGTGACTGAGCAGACGTGGTAGTCTCCTAAAAGGTAGCCATCGATTACACTGGGGAAATCAGGAAGGTTGACTGCCCTCAAACTACTAGTCTCTTGTCAGTCGTAACTGGCTTTGTTTGCCACTAATATAGCCTTTTGCAGGTTTTGAATAGCAGGACCAGAGCCTCCTACTCTTTCCTTTTTAGCAGAGAAATCGCTGGAGTGTAGGAGATCGCGAATTGTGGTGAGCAGAGAACTTTGTGGGAGGAACTTGTCCTACTTTTTTTTAACATGCAGCAGACTATAGATGCTATAATTTATAAGATTGTACTAGTTCTACCGAGGTCTGTGTTTCGGTAATGGGATGTGCAGACTTTTCTGCGAAACCACAATTCCCATGGGTTGGCTCTACAGGAAATGACATCGCTGCTGTCTCACGTGGCGAGCCAGCAGCGCCGTAACGTGGACTGCCTGGTGGTGATCCTCATGTCGCACGGCAGCGCCGCGGACATCATCTACGACGTGAATGCAGACTGCGTGAATACTGAAGAGCTGATAGCCCTGTTCAACAACGACAACTGTCCGGCCCTTCAGGACAAGCCCAAGCTCTTCTTCATCCAGGCCTGCAGAGGAGGTGACGTTTCTGGATATCTCCCTTCTCGGTTTTTCTCGCAGGTCTGTTGCATGACGAAATCTCTCCAGGCTCGGGTACCCGTTCGCTTTTCCGTAGTACCTGGCTCTGGAAAGTGCGTAAATGAAAGTGTTCATAAATATCCCAACTCTGGATAGTACCTGAAACAAAAGAGTGTTTTGGAAAAGTAGGCATCTGTGAATAACGTTTTTTAGTTCGAAGAAAATTCGAAGTGAATATCAATTTGCTTCAAATATTTTCGAAGCAAATAATTCAAATAGTCACGGGAAAAATTATCAGAAAAAGTTTTGCCATAGTCATTTCACTGACTATTGTAATGTTCCGAACGAATGCCCACCGTAAAGTTCCAAAAGAATGCCCACCGATAATGAAGAGATAAAGGGTGAAAAACATGGGGTGGGCTGCCTTTGGGGATGCCACAGCAAAACTTTATCAAACATTTTTGATAAACACCCTGGCACCAGCCACAAACCTCTTGATGCGGGATCTGATATCGGGGACAGGGCAGATTCGCGTTTCACAATGGGATGAACAGGAGCGAATTTGCTACGGATTCCTGTGTCATGCGAAAGGATACCGCAGGTTGCGGGCACAGCAGATTCACGTTTCGCGGTGCAAGAGACCCGCGAAAACCTACCAAGAACTCGTATCTCACGGCAACGAATACCGCGAATCGCGGACGCAGCAGATTCAAGTTTTATGGTGCAATAGAAATGCGGGAACCCACTCCAAAATTGCCTGTCACGGGATCCGAAACAGTGCACACAGAGTGTGGACAAAAACGCAGGAATCCGCTACAAACTTTATGTGACGAGAACAAATACCGCGGATTACGGAACAGCAGATTCGCATTTCACAGTGCAACATGCATGCGGGAAGAACTCGCGTGTTATGGGAGCCAACATTGCATGTGCAGGTCGGCTAAAAACATGCGTGAAACCGCTATGAACTCTCTTGTCAGACGTGCTGGTACAGCGAATTGCACGGTTCATGCAATTCCTGTCAGACATCGCATGACCAGTGATGTGATTGCTGCGCCAATTGCGCCAAACTGCGCCAAGGGGCAAACCCTGCTACATCCTGCTACATTTTGCCAAAATATGGGTAATCTGCTCCAAGCCTGCGCCAAAAGACCAATTTTGTTTGTGTTTCAAATCGAAACTAAACTGAGTACCGTAATTGAGCATGCGTGAGCTAGGTGGCGCAAGCGGCAGCCCGACAAAAAGTACCCTGTATCAATCGTCCATCCGGTCTTGCATAGTTTTTCCCGCCGTCTCTCGTTTCACGCTCTCGTCGTGTCTCATGTGTCTCGTCTCGCGTCTTCTCAAAAAAAAGAAAAAAAGGAAAAAAAAAATCAACGATACAAGCGGGCGTGTGTGGACGCTTCAGTCGTTGCACAGACTGCTCCAAGTACTTTTTGACTCTGGCTCGCGATGTCTTGAATCAATGCCCTCAGGTTCTTATTTTTCTGTGTGTTTAGCTTGTACCTCGCCTGCCGGCCTGGCAAGCACGTGCCGCTGGACTGTTTTTTGTCGTATGCTGGACAATTACACTTTTCATACAATTTTGGGAACCAGTTGGCGACGGAGCAGAGTGGCATGGTGTCTGTTTCGATCGAACGGCCATCTCCACTCTTGCGACGAAGCACGTGCAATTGCAAGCCTGCCGAAGTTGCCCTCATGTGCATGCGAACATGACTGCACGACAGTGGCACCAGCCGGGAAGCTTGCAACCCATTGTTTTATGTTTGCTTACTTTTGACGAAAATCTGGCACGTCGGGAACCAGTAAAACGGTGGCAAGCGGTTTTTCGGAGTTGCTCGGCAACGCCCACAGCACTGTACACTTGTGGGATGTCTCAATGTCTCTTTGGAGACATTAAAAGTGGACATTCATTACTAGCCGAAGGCAAAGCGAGGCTTGCAGCAGCCTTGCAGAAATTTTCGAAAAGCAAAAAGAAAAGCACCCGCTAGTCTGAATGCACCTTTGTCTTGTACTGCACTATAGTTACGTGTTTCATCAGTCGGAGACTGTTTCCATTTATCATATTATATATAACTACGGTAGTCAACCTAATGCTGTGATATTTACTATATACTAAGCTGGTTATTTTCAAATAAATTTCATTAAGTGCAGTTTGGTTCTTATTTACCTATAACGGGTACATATACATGTAGAATTTAACTGAAGCATTGCAAAATGTGTTATGCCTTTGGCATTTCAGTTATATGTTAAGAGACTCCCAGGTGGTCTAACTTGACCGTAATTTGTTTATTGCGGCGACCGAAGTGCCCTTCGTTCGTCCAGCACCTAAAACGAATATGTTAATTTTCCTAAGAATATCTGCTTTAAAAGCCTCTTTTGCTGCTCCGAAGCACTGTTTTGGCCGCTCCCAAAGCCACTTCTGCTGCTCCAAAACACTCTTTTGCCTGCTCCAAAGGCCACTTTTCCTGCTCCAAAACACCGTTTTGGCTGCTCCAAAAGGTGCTCCAAAACGGCTTACGCCAATCACATCACTGCATGACGTCCGACGGGAATCGGGGTGTGTGCGATGTTTCGGAATTTTAACGTCGCAGATTTTTAGCCAGAAAAACGGGATGGGCGATCTCTTGAGGGCAGGCATTCTCTCGGAACTTTACGGTATTTCTTCTTTTAGCAACTCCAGTACAAATCAAAACTAAAGGAGAATTCCACTGGTCGTTTTTGAGCATGCCGGGATAGACTTTACTGGAGTGCGCCTGTTTCACTGGGCGATCAGGATCAAGACGTACGTGTTCCACTCATTGTTTTGGATCAGCTCCCCCGCCAGATCTCGATCCGGTGCCACTGGGCAGTCGCTAAGAGGTTCGGTCAATCCTCACTGTCCCTCATCTCTCCCTCTTTGTGAATGTGCTTGGGAGGTGGACGATTCGCGGACGTGTCGTTACGCGATCAATCTGTTTGCAAATCGGTCCGTCGCATGAATCGGGCGATGCCATCTCAGCTATGTCGGCGGCTTTTTTAGCGTAAGAACCGGGAAAGCAAACGCGCGAAGCAAGGAATCAACGCACGTGTTCCTATGGGCGCCCGGTGGGACTGGCGCTTCTGAACATAAAAGCCGTGAAAATGCAAAAGCCGAGAATGTATCAACAATGTTTTACTGTAGTTTCATCTTGAAAGGAAAACCAAAACCCACTTTGACTACGCACCCCCCTCCCCCCCCCCTCGCCAACAAACCTGAGGACACTCGTTCAAAGAACAAAGGGAAAGACAGAACAAAATTAGGTGTTAAGGCTTCTACAAGGGTCGCAGGGATGTGATTGCTGCGCCAATTGCGCCAAACTGCACCAAGGGGCTAACCCTGCTACATCCTGCTTCATTTTGCCAGAATATGGGTTATCTGTGCCAAACCTGCGCCAAAAAAGCAATTTCGGTTGCTTTTCAATACCGAAACCAAACTGACTACCATAATTGAGCATGCGTGGGTTATGTGGCGCAAGCGGCCGCCCAACACAAAGTACCCTGCATCAATTGTCCATCCGGTCTTGCATGGTTTTCCCGCCGTCTTGCATTCTCGTCGTGTCGTGGGTCTCGTCTCGTGTCTTTTCTTAAATTTTACAACGATAGACGAGGGTGTGTACGGATGCTCCGACGCTAGCGTGCCAGGCACCAGCCATGCCGTCATGCTGTGAAACGAAACCACATTTTTGCGCGGCAGGAGTTACTTCGTGAGCTGAAACACTCGCTACTTCGTGAGCTGAAACACTCGCTACTTCGTGAGCTGAAGCACTCGCTGCTCAAAGCAACGGCCGTGGGACGGCTGCCGTAGGGTTTTTAACGAATACTTTTCATCAGTGTTTACTAAAGAGTGCTTGGACTCCGTCCCCACTTTCCCTGAAAAGCTTTACGAGCACATGCATCCTATTATTGTTAACTCCGCCGGTATTAAAAAATTGATTGATAAACTAAAACTTACTTCGTCCGCTGGAACCGACATCAACTCTAATATTTTAAAAAAATCACCTGTGTTATTTCTGGTGAGTATTTGAAACTCATCTTTAATTAATCCTTAACTCAAAGCTGCCTTCCATCTGACTGGAAGGTGGGAAGGGTTGTCCCAGTATTTAAATAGGGCAGCCACTCTTCCGCATCTAATTATCACCCTATTTCTTTGACTTCCATTTCATGCAAACTACTTGAGCATATCCTGTACTTCAATATCATGAGGCACCTATCATCACAGCCTTTATTCTTTAAACAGCAGCACGGTTTTCAAAGGGGACTTTGCTGCGAAACACAGCTCTGCGACTTCATCCATGATTTGCACACTAACCTTGAATGTCGTGTCCAGACTGACACAGTTTTTGTTGATTTTTCTAAAGCGTTCAACCGTGTCCCCCATCAACCCTTCTTTCTAAGTTGTCATCTCTTTGCCTCGACCAGTTAACGTTTGCATGGATCCGTGACTTTCTTTTTTCCCATGTACAGCTCACGTCCATTAATGATCATGAATCTTCCTTAATAAATGTATCTTCTGGTGCTCCCCAGGGGTCCGTCCTTGGCCCCTTACTTTTCTTAATATTTATTAATGACATTCCCATTGGGATTTCTTCAAAAATATGCCTTTTCACCGATGACTGCATCATCTATAACAAAGTAACTTGTGTGCAAAATAATAACCACCTTCAGGAAGATCTAGATAAAATTAACAATTGGTGCAAAGAGTGGATGATGTCATTAAACGAGTCTAAATGCAAACTAATTTACTTCACCAGGAAAAAAACGACCCTGTCATTCAATTACTACTTCTTCGAGTCCGATCTCATTGAGACCGCTGCTGTGTATAAATACCTTGGTGTAAGACTAACATCTTACTTTTCCTGGAATAACTACATCGAAGCCATTACTGCCAATTCATCTAGAACTCTTGGACTAATCAGACGTAACTTAAAAAGCGCTCCACCCTTTGTCCGTAAGCTGGCCTTTGACACATATGTCAGACCAAAATTAGAATATGGCTCAACCATCTGGAATCCCCATCAACTATACCTCATCAATACTCTAGAGGCAGTTCAGAACAGAGCTGCTCGCTTCATTTCATCCACTTATGACTTTTCTTTCAGTGTCTCAGTGCTAAAACTCAACTAACCATATCCTCTTTGCAGCTTCGCAGGAAAGTCTCTCAGCTGTGCCTTATTCATAAAATCTACTACCTCATTCCCGACCTCAAAACCGCTTTGTTATTACCCCCCGACCTAACATCTTCTCGCCTCAACGTCTGCACGATCAAACACATTTCTGGCTCTACTAACGCTTTCAATCAGTCATTTATTCCTCAAGCCATCAGTAAATGGAACAGTCTCCCATCCTCCATTGTCACCATCTTGGACCCTGCTGATTTCTCTTCTGCAATAAAACTACACCTTTCTTGTCATTAGCTTCAATTTTGTATAATTTCTTCGAGTTCCCCGATTGTATCATGCTTGTGCTTTGGCTTTTATTTAGTTCAAATTCTGATTACGCCGCCCTTATGTAATGCCCTTAACGGGCCCTTAAAGGGAAGCTACGGAGCTTCTTGGAAAAAATGAGTTAGAAGTGAATTCTAGTGTATTTTTACCCCGTGAACCCGAATACCCAAACCATTTGCTGCGTAAGTATTGTTAAATGCGAGAAAAACGCGAAAGACAGTCGCTGTCCATGACGTCATCGACGGCTCTTTTGGCTGCCCAAGGCTAGGGGGGCGGGGCTTCAGCCCTATTTTGAAATTGCACTTGCGGCTCTCCGGCGCGTTGCATTGAAATATAATTTTGATATCTGTTATTCTAAAGGCCAAATGAACGCAATTCAAGCGTTTTTTCTCAAATGTAGAAGTGCCCCATCTTCCCTTTAAGGTGATATAAATAAATGAATGAATGAAAACTATATTTGTTCTCTGCCTTCCAGTCACTGTGGTCGCGCAACGTCGGGTCTCCTCGTCCCCACATCGCTGCAGTTATGGTGCTTTCTAAAATGAAACTAAGTACTGCCGCATGTTCATCAACATTCCTTTCCTTGTTTTAACCATACGCTACTAAAAAAATTCCCTCTCTAACTCAAAGAGAGTTGTGTTGAAGTATTGATTACTTAGGTTTCTCTCAATGGGCTTTCTTTTGAGAGGCACCCCAGTTTGGGAAAAATCTGCCGTGAAAGAAAGTTGGTGAAGAGAAGTGAGCTAAAGCAAAGAAGGCAATATTTGCACTCTGAACCCCCACAGCGCGCTTGTTTGTCTCAAGTTCAGTCGTTGCACAAAGCGCTCCAAGAACATTTTGACCGTGGCTCGCGATGTCTTGCATCGATGCGCTCAGGTTCTTTTTTTGTGTGTGTGTTTAGCTTGTACTATCTTGTTTGCCGGCCTGGAAAGCACGTGCCGCTGGACTGTTTTTTGTCATGTGCTCTACAGTTGCATTTTGCATACAATTTTGGGAATCAGCTGGCGACGGAGCGGAGTGGCATGGTTTCGGTTTCGATCGAACAGCCGTTGTCTCCGCTCGCGTGACGAAGCGCGTGCAATTGTGGGCCTACCGAAGTTGCCCTCACATGCTTGCAAACATTTATTGCATGACAGAGGCACCAGCCGGCACTAGCCGGGATGCTTGCAATCCATTGTATTATGTTTGCTTTCTTTTGACGAAAATCTGGCACGTTAGAAACCAGTAAAACGGTGGCAAGCGGTTTTTCAGGAATCGCTCGGCAATGCCTACGGCACTGTACACTTGTGAGATGTGTCAGTGCTAAACACAAGCAGGGAGTTCTGTGGTCACATCAGAACACAACACAACACAAAGTGCCCTCTGTTTGTACAGCACTTAAAACATATATTTCTATTTTTCTAAGAATATCTGCTCCAAAAGCCACTTTTGCTGGTCCAAAACAATGTCTTGGCTGCTCCAAAAGCCACTTTTGCTGCTCCAAAACACCGTCTGGCTGCTCCGAAAGGTGCTCCGAAACGGCTTTGGCCAATCACATCACTGGGGTCGGTAAGAGCAACAGACACATTGCTGAAACAATCATGGTTCCTGGAAATCATCGACGACTCCTTAAAGGGGGACACTGACTCGAGATTTAACTTTTGAACTGCTCAAGTGCTTGGAAGGAAATTCGCAGGGGAGATTAAACATCAGATGTATTGTGCAAACGTTCAGCTCTCTAGGATAATTTTACATGCCTGCATAAGATGTTCACCATTTGTTAAGAAATCTATGGTATGCAAATGAAGCTATTAAGCACCATTTTGACTGCTTCAGTATAAAGTGGTGGATGTAGGACTTCAGGCTATCTAGTTTTTATGACTCGTATGTAAATATTTCAGGAGGAGCTATTACCCCAAAATATAAGATGCATATCTTTCCTATCTCAATTTTTGAAAACAGTTTTTTCCTCAATGAGGAAACTTAAAATACAGTAAAGTAGATAGCCCGATTCCCCAATTAATTTCAATTCAGAAACATCTTGATTGGGTTATCATACTCTTCTTTTTAAACAAAGGATCCCTTCGTATGAAATTTGCAGCAAAAAGTGGAACTGAGAAAAATGCATTCAAACATTGAACTCCTTTACTCTGTTACTGCCTTACGGTGTGTTGAAAATATTTTATATCAATGCAACTATTTGGCATATGGTTATCAAATTTAGTGTAAGGGTGTGCAATTAGTTTCTAAAACCGAAAAACTAAAATTTGAAAAATGCATTTTTTCAGGAAAATATGAAATTTAGGCCCATGTCCCCCCTTAACGAGACGTTTATATAGTCAGTTACAGGTTAAGAAGGTAGCGGCAAATGCCCCTCAAAGGGAATCGGATATCCCTCCGCCACCTCCGCATCCAATAGCGTCCCACCGTTTCCGTGACGTCGCGGCCAGCGCGCGAGGGGGGTCTTGCCTTTCTGTACATATTTGCTTTACCTTTTGACTTTGACTTAGCATTGTGGAAGGCACGAGAGGGAGATTAGAGTTCTCCCCCACCGACGGAAACAAATACGACTTTCGGGGATTAGCTTCCCCCCCCGATGGATACAAAGGCTGCTTTTAGGGGCTCGGTTCCCTCTCCGATGAATACAAAGGTCGCTTTCTTAAGAAGTGGGATCGGAGACAAGTGGGAATCCATAGAAGCGGAACAAGGAGCGTTTCCAGTGAACTCTTCTTTCGACTGCGGAGAGATTTGAAACGGGCGCATCACACTTGTGGGAGGAGCTTCTCCTACCTTCTTGACTTGTAACCGACTATAGACGTCCTGAGAATCTCAGTGTCTTGCAACACTGGGACAAATGTTTGGCCAATTTGGAAGCCTCATTGCTAGTCTTGACAGCTCTCTTGTGTTCACACAGCCTGTCATTTATGCATCTGGCAGTCTGGCCAACATAGACAAACCACACTTTACGGGAATTTTGTAAATTGCTCCAAGATTACAACTCGCAGAAGAATGATTTTTACTACAGCCACTTCTTTCCGCCAAGAAAAGAATCTAGACAATAATCGGGTTTAAAAACTATGGAACAACCATGGATTCTTTTTTGGGTTGTGGACTTGTTGTCATTTGAATAGTGCCTTCAGAAGCCGTAGAGGCTAAAACTATATACTTTGCCTCGTGTTTGGAAATGACTTATGGTGCAACATAGATAGCATGCATGCTGCTTCAGCAAAGCCACTAGACAGATTTCCGAAGTTTCTCATAACCGACTTTAGAAAAGAATTTGTTGGCTTACAAGAGGCGCCCTTACTCGAAAATATGATGGTCTTTCTAAATCCAACGAAGGCGAATAATTGGGGTTTTCTGAAAGAGCTCTGTGAATGGCGTGGCAGAAATAATGTTTGTATTTAACGAGATGTGCCTCGGACGTCGAGCCTGACTTGCACATGCCCGGATTCTCGGCGCAGACGACACTTTTGAAACCCCAATATCGTCGGTGCCTTGTCATTCGCCGGTTGAGGGTATCCCTCAGTCCCCGTGGCCGAGTTCATAACGCTTTCTGGTCGACCAATCCCAAACGAGAGTTCCTCACACCCCCGTTTCAACGTCCCCTTTCCCCAGATAAGCACGACGGCGGCACCAGTTGCGTGATGGACACGGCCGATGCCGCCAGCCTTTCTGCAGACATGGCGTCCGTCAAACTCTGCGCCTCAAGGAGGAACGAGCGAGCGCCCACCGTGTCGGACATGTTTGTGGCATACCCGACCATCAAGGGCCACGTGTCACTCAAGAACGAGGTGTCGGGCTCGTGGTTCTTGTCCACGGTGTTCCTCGTCTTCTCCGAGCACGCCTGGAACGCGCACCTGGACAAGATGATGCGGCGGGTGGCAGATGAGGTGCACAAGCGGGTGTCGCACGACGGCGGCCGCCAGACCATCAACATTGACGTGCGAGGCTGGCGCAAGAAGCTCTACTTCAACCCCGGCCTGGCACTCGAGCAGATGGCCTCTTGACCCCCTGCTGGGCCGCGGGTGGGTTCGTGCGCGTGGGCAGCGTTCTGCGGCAGTGCGATGGAAGGTCCTGTTCACGTGGGAGCGTTTGTGTATGTTTTCTTGCATTGCGTTACGACTCTGGGACATTCCTGCTTCGTATGCCACGTGCAAAGCTACCTTCTGAACTGGCTGACACGCTTCATATGAGGCACCAATGTCTTGGTGACTGTACAGTGTGAACAAGTCTGAAGCATTGAAAGGCTTATACCCTGTTCATCCCAAAGCTGACAGTGCAATGGACGCTTGTTGGACCAGTCATACGTACATGATTTCACCGTGTGATCACGCTCCACCCATAAGCCGCACGCGGAGAGAGCAAGTGAGGTGACGAAAGGGAAGCAGTGAATTGGTGCGGCAAGCACGTAGCTTCCACTACACTGTCAGCTTAGGGATGTACGAAGCACTCTCACATCTTAGGGGCTGGTCAGTGCTGTGTCCGTGTGCCTTTTCCTTCTTCACTGCCGACTGAAGTTGCCACGCAGCATAGCCCGTCTGCAGTTGTGCGGGTCCTTTTTGGAAGAAGTGTGGATGAGCCATTTCTAGCCTAAACCTTACAGTGCCCAGGGAGGCACTGAAGGAGTGCCAACTATTCAAGTACTTACCCGAAGGCGCTCGTAGCGTTTGAAAAAATTATTTTATATTTCTTAAGTATTTAAACATTTTCTTAATAGGGCTGGGTGTTGATTCGAAGGCATAATATGATTGTCACATTCTTTAGTTGCTTTGTTTGATTATTAAATTGGACTAGTATGTAGAACTCGAAATGATTCTCTTTTGTTTGATACTATATATGCCATAAGTGACGTAATGCATGGTCCCATTTTACACCTGATGTGCCACCCACAGAAACACTAAACTTAAAAAAAAACATTAAAAATTAAATACTTCTTATATTTCGACAGCAGCATAAAATAAGAGGTAGTTCGAATCAAATAGTGCTGTGTCATTTCGCTTTAACATTGTTAAGAAAACTGGATTGTTAAAGGACACATGCAAAGGAAAAAAAACATTTTTTTAAACAGCTTAGATGGATAAAGGATGTTATAAAACAATATTACAACGAAGAAAAAAATTTTAGAGCTATATTTACGGCGCTATACGAATTTGTAGTTGGCGCCCGCCGGCGCCGTGGAAAAGTGGCCCTTATTTATCACGTGGTGCTTGCATTCTTTCGGAAGCTTCGTATGGCGTCTAAAAGTAACTTATTCATCTTTGTTTGAAGTATAACAAAAGTGAAAGCCGTTTACAACTCCCTGTAACACCGAATTAGAGCGCAGCTCTTGAGGAGGAGGAGGGAAGGGTACTGGGGGGGGGGGGGTGAAGTGGCCTGGGGGTCACGTGACGATGCCGATGATGTCATCAGTGACGATGAGGACTCCGATGACGTCATCAGCGATGATGACGATGCGGATGTCAGTGACGTGACTGATGACGTCATCCGTGATGATGACGATGTGGATGCCGGTGACGTCATCAGTGACGATGCGGATGCCGGTGAGGTCATCATTGACGTCACTGATGACGTCATCAGTGATGATGACGATGCGGATGCCGGTGACGTCATCAGTGACGATGACGTCATCGGGGAGGTCACGTGACCTCGGCGGGGGGTCACGCGACCCTGGGGGTGGTCACGTGACCTCGGGGGGGGGGGGGGGGGTGTCACGTGACTTCAAGGGTCACGTGACTTCGGGGGTCACGTGACCCTGGGGGAGGGGTCACGTGACCTTGGGGTCATGTGACCTTGGGATGACCTTGGGGTCGCGTGACCTTGGTCACGCCGACGGCGACGCCGACCAAGCCGGGAACGGGCCCCTAAGAGCTGCGCTCTAAAAAACCAATTAATAGGTAACTTTTAGAGCCCAAAGGAAACTCCTGAAAAAGCGCAAGCAGACGTGATAGACCTGTGCGCCGGTCAGACGACGGCGACGGCGCCCCGAAGCAGACGAACTTGTGCGGTGACGGCGGCGTGGAGAAACGCGTTGAAGCGGCGTTCGCACGACGCTCGGCGTGCGGCGGCAGCGTGACTTTGCGGGAGCAACGACGCAGCGCGGCAACGCGCGGGCCTACCACGTGACCAGCGGCGGCTCCCGCGGCGCCAACTGCAAATTCGTATTGCGCCGAAAATATAGCTCTAAAATTTTTTTTTCTTCGTTGTAAAATCGTTTTGCGACATCTTTTTTCCATCTAAGCTGTTAAAAAAAAATGTTTTTTTCCTTTGCATGTGTCCTTTAAGAAAACTGATTGCCATGGCTTTCCTCTCCTTTGTGAAGGCCCGTTTACACTCTTGCAACCTCTTAGAACAAGGTGCCTTGAAACTTCTTACAACCAGAGGACACACTGGCGCCATCCATTGGGTAGCAGTGTAAACTTGGCGGTCCGGCATATTTTCTATTTCTCTCGCGCATTATCCTTTCCTTCTTGGCTCGAAAAACTTTAGTCAACGTCATAAATGAGCCTTTCTTATATAGGTATTTCGCATATTTAACCTCGGAAATCCCGCAAAACCTTCGCTCTTGTGAAATGCAGTTCCAGGGTCACTGCATAGATGGCGCTAGAATGCCAGTGTGTTCCCTCGTTCTAAGAAATTTCAAGAAGTTTTAACAGATCTCGTCTCTCTCGGTCGTACTCTGTTGCGAGACTGTGAACGGGCCTTTAAGGTTACGAATGATGCAGTGCTATTTAATGCAAATTAATTTTTGCACACCCCTGCATAAAATGCTATAATCTTTATTTTTTATCTGTTGGCAAAGAGCATTTGGCCTAAAGAGTTGTACATTTTAAGTAAATTAAAACATGAGAAAGCAAAACAAGTTATGCACATAAATTTTGTCCAGTTTTTGTTGGAAAGTAATTGCATCACTAAAAAACATCTACAGATTTTTCTAGCTTGTTGAATTTAAGTTTCATTCTTTTTTGTGGCGACATTGTATATGTTAATTGGCTGAAATTGACTGAACTGCAGGGCGATTTTTTGTGAAAGATAGTAGTGCCGCACCCTCAAATGAATAAATGTGCAATAAATAGTAAGCAATAATAAAGCAGGAATTTTTGCTCTCTCATTTCTCACCTGACTTCTCTAAACCAATTAGCTGGTTAAAAAAAAAATCTCGATGGTTATTAAAACATTAGTTGCTTATATTAAAATTTTATTGTGTCAATTGCCCAGCCCTATTAATAAAGAAAAGGCACAGTTACACTCGAAATCTTGCTGCACAGATATGAGGAAGTTAGATGATCAGAGACTTTACGTAACTCTTTTAAAGAGACCATGAAGACGATTTTGAACTCTTTTTTTTAGAAAAGGGTGTCTTCCGGCTCTCTAAGGACCTGGAAATGTTCTCAATCTTTTTATACAGTTCTATGAAGCTTATTGTTTCGTATAAAATAAATCAACAAAACCAAAACTGACATTTGGCTTTCCCACCGCTCAGCCTCTCTCAAACTGGAGGTGAGGTCACCAGTGAAGCGTTGGTTTCAGTAGAATTTAGTGGTCACAGGCGTTGATGGCGTATCGGCACAAAGCCGTATATTGGGAGAGTTTGGCCAGTCTATGATCTCACCGCCATAAGGCCCTCCTCTCCTTCCTCACTCGCTCCTTTGGCACTCTCTCACCCCTTTCCTTCACTTTTCTCCTCTCCAGAGCCTTCGTCGCCACGCCTACTGGCCAGACTCTCCCAATATATGACTCTGTATCGGCACTTAGTGGATTCAACTACAGGGGGTGCTTCTCTAGCTATCATCATCATCGTTTGTGACATCACGTTTTTTATGTTTTTTTGGTGAAGTAATAATTGTCAGAGGACATTTTACCTAAGCTTGAAACCGTGACACGCGTAGTCATGCTAACGAACACTTTCGGCACTGAAGTGTCAAAGTGCTAGGATGGGGGTGTGATAGCTGTTCTCTATCCCAGTACAAAAAGCTGGATGATGAAAATAGAATATCCAGTGCTTTACCCCACTACAACATCTACTACGGCAGATAGGGCACGTTTTTTTAAATTATGATTCGGTCAAAATGAAACCGAGAAAGGAATGTCTCGTGTAATTGAAAATAGGAAAGCGAAATTCGAGAACCTTTTGCGTACGTAGTAAACACTTCAGTGAAAGTGACACCGTGTATCCTGTTGGTTCCAATGTGTTGTGTAAGTGCTGGTCTTTTATTAGTTCGATTGATTTCTTTTTGAATTTTATAAACCAGTAAACAAACATTTCCTCAAAATAACTGGCAGAAAGAAGGGGTAGCTGGCTTCGGGAGTCGTTTCAATAAAATCCTCTCTTACTCACCCGGTTGACGCGACACATGCGAGACCCCCTCACGATTGGTTTATTCTTAGATCTAGTAAGTCGGTGACAGTGTCTCAAAAAATGAGGTATACACCTGCTATGAACTACTAGCGCGTGTATGTTGATTTTCGCAGACCCAAACGTGCATAATGCTTGATGCACTTGGCAGCGAGCAATCTTGAATTTGTAAAGAATCCTTAGTGAAAATTGAATGGAACAAATTAATCCATTACCCGAATTTGCTGTGCCATGTCCGACAATTTAAGAGTTTATGAAAGTTTCCGCTTTTCTTTCGAGCTAATGTTGCAATGTGACAAACATCTTTGCCACATATTCGATATGTGGGAGAAGCTAAGCGTCAGTTTCTGATGAGCATTTGCTCGTCAGTAACTGCGCAGTCGCACTTGGATAGAAGTGTCGTTATCGGCAGGCTCAACGGAGCTAAAAAGTGTGCGGCGATGTGCAACACCAGTGTGTGTGTGTGTGCACAGCTAAGGCAGCATGTCATTTACTCTGGCGAATGCAAAACTTTTTCCTACAGCAGCCTCCACAGATAAAAAAAAACAAAAAACAATCGGAGAGGCTTTGAATAGCTTTAATGCACGCCACGAAGCTGTAATGTGGAGCTCCAGGCTTGTTTCTGAGCATTTTAAAGTTTATTAATATAAAAAGCAACTTCGAGGCACTGACTTCATTAGAAAGATAACTCACAAAAACGTCGGGCAGGTTTCTTCGATAAATAAACCATTTTTAATCGGCATAGATGCAAACTAACGTAGACATAGTGCGTCGTCTGCTTGCATCTTACCAGCCCTGCCACAGCAGGGCGCCTGCGAGGTAGTGCCACTAGAGTTCCTGTATATGCTACCTACAATAGCAGAGTTGCGCATTCAGCCTCGGCGAGTGGCCGTAGCGCCGGCTTTCCCGCACGCCCTGGATGCTTTGCTCCTCACATGACTAAATTTGGCGAATAGCGGCGCCGCGCTCGCCGCCGCGCGAGGAAAACAGGAGAGGAGGAAAAGGAGGCGGAAAGCAGGGAAACATACGCCGGGGCAAGAGAAACGTCGGCGGAGCGACCGTAAAGGTGACTTTCTTGCACGCCACCGGATGCTTTGCTCCTCACGTGATGGATCTCGGCGAATAGCGGCGTGGCGGCGCGGGGAAAGCAGTCACCAAAACATCACGGACGGAGGCTGGTCCTGCTGGGGTCGAGTGGCAACACTTTTTATTGCAGTAATTCATCCGAACAAAAGCAGAAATAATTTCTGGTGTTATTATACTATAGACCTTTTCCGCTTACTCTCGCCCCCGACCGCCAAGCAGGCAGATCCGGTATGGGCGACGAAAAAATATTAAAACGTTGCAACCTGCAAGTAGTAAAAAAATAGAGGGGAGAGAAAACGAGAATGGGTGACGGTTACGCTTTTCTCTTAAATGCATTCTATTGGCGTGGCGACGGCAAAACAATGTTTTCGCCCATACTGGAAGTGACGCCAATTCAAGATGGCGGCGCACTTGCAGAAAAGGTCTATATATAAAAGAGTAAAAAAAGAAGGAAATTCTTTTAGCTACTCACAATTGGAAGTGAGAAGAGCAAACTCTTTTTACTTGTGCCAATCGTCTGACGAGCCTCAATCGATGTGACGGTCCTCGTAACTCAAAAGCTAGATTTGTTTGCAGTCTCAAGCGTCGCTGCCATCGGTCCTTGTGTGATTATTGCGGAACCTGCTAAATTACCGTATTTAGTCGGATGTAACGCAACCACAATTGTAGCCCAAAAAATGACTTTTCAGAGTGCCAAAAAAAAAAAAAAAAAAAAAACGAATACGATTTTAACGTGAGCAAAGTGAGGGAAAAAAGTACCTTTATTTGTTTTGCTGCTCAACTACGAACTCCGCCACTTTTTTTTCGAATTCTGCGTGACAGCCACAACAAGGTCCGCGAAAGCCTTTTCGGCCGGGCTCACACTTGAAGAGCGCTTCACGCTGGAGCCTCCACCCACGGATAGTGGATTCTGTCACATCTAGCCGTCGAGCCGCGGCAGTTTGCGATTTCCTCAGCCGTCTGGATTGCACTTCTTTTAAGGCGGGCATCGTACTGAGCTCGTCGCGTTGCCATTTTCTCGAGTTCAAAGTCGTGGAAGCACAAAGTAGCAGCCCGCGAAACAGAGGCCAGATTCACGAAGAGCTTCTTAGTTTACGACAACTTAGCTAAGAAGTTCGTAAGTTAAGAAGATCGTAAGAAGAGGAGAAATCGGTATTCACGAACGCGTTCTTAAGTGAGAGGAGGAAAGCGACGTTGTCGTACGGAGAAACTAAAACTTACCGGTGCTGTTGCTATGGCGACGGCGTCTCCGGCAGCACGAACAACCAATCGGAGAGCTCGGCATTTATTCGGAGACGTTCGGAGCCGTTCGGAGAACGTGGATTTTTCATAACACGGGCGGCCTTTCTGCCACCGCTGGTCTGGGGTTCGTATCCGTGCGGTGATATGTCGACGCTAACACGATTTAAACTCGCCCGAATGCCGAGGCCGGGATGCGTAACCACCCCCATTGACTGCTACGAACTCGATCGCTACCAAGTCAACACAACTGTCATAGTTGGTAAAAGTCGGCCCGCAGTCGTTTACAAAGCGACGTAGATGGGAACGAATTGCCGCGGCGTTTTTTGCGGCCACGGAGATGCAGGAGCGAGCCGGCGTTAAAAAAGATACGTTTGAACTACGACAGTGTAAGCAAGAGCCACGTAAATGCTTGTTTACACTACGGAGCGGACGCGCGCGTTTGATCGAAGTGCTGGATTTGCGCTGTTGGACCGTGGATTGATAAGCGCTCCGGGACCGATCCTTTATAATTGCAACTCGATGCTGACGTGACACCCGGCGAAGAAAGGTTGGACTAGGGTGCCTTTATGTCATTGAGGCACCCTAGGTTGGAACGGCATTGCGACCCACGAACTGTTACAGCGATCGACAGTGAGGTGCAGTCATGTCAGAATAAAATGGAATATTAATAACAAAGTGTACATACCATGTTGCGAAGGTAATCCATACGGCGTTTATTTGAGCTTGATATCACAGAAAACAGAGACAGAATCGATGAGAGCCCCTTTTCGACGACAGCGTTCGTCACCGTTGCCTCGGAAAACAAGGAGATGACAAGAGGAAGAGATTGACCTCTTAATCTAGAATTGAGGTCAGCGATCAAACTATAATACGGGAAGGGTTCACAAGGGTCGCGCGGGCATATTCCATTCAGCACGCCAGCCGGTCGTGGGCAGACGGTCTTCGCCAAGGACCGTCAGATCATCGCTGCGCCGAGTCGGAGTGCCTGCTAGGCCTATCTGCCGATCGGTCGGAGTGCGTACTCGTGTCCCTTGGAGTTTTTCCCGGGTGTCTGTGGATCCAGCGTTCTTGTTCGTTCGTCGTGGTCTGTTTCAAGAACTTTTTAGTTGTTTCTTGGTGCTTGAAGTCGGGACGCGTGAGAAGCGCACGTAGAAAAATAAACATCCGTTGGTTGTCGCGACCAACTGAGCGACGCTGTCGGCCATGCTGATTTGATCGTAAGAAGTGCGTAAGACAGCTTCGGAGCTGTCGTAGGATTTCGTCGTAACCTGCGCAAAACTTACGAAAATTTCGTTTCGTGAATACGGATTTGTTCTTAAGTTTTGTCTTACGCACATTTTTGGCGTAAGATCGTTTCGTGAATCTGGCCTCAGAAGCACACGGGCGCAATGAGTCGCAAACAAGAATAGGATTGGACTGGTTGTTGCCAGCACAAGACTGAAAGATCGCGAGATTTGTCGTAGCCATTTTAAAGAGCCTGTGCCGCGACACCGCCAAGGCAATTTTTGAGGCGTTTTGATTATAATAACGCGAACCCCCTAAATTGGGTGAAGGAAGATTTGAAAAAAAAAAAAAAAAACTCGCCGTACATTTGAGTAAATACGGTAATTTGTGCGACGTGCGAGTGCCATATCAGGCTAGGACTTCGTCAACATTGCCTGGAAGGCACCTGACATCTACCTCAAGGTGAACGTCGAAATGGTCTTCATGGTCCCTTTAAAGAGGCCACCTTGCTCAAAGTTACGATGTTTCTGGTGCGTGCTTGCCACAAGTGGT